GTGTGTGTGTGTGTGCTCTCTTGTCCCTTGCTAATGATGTTCTACCAGTGATTTATGTCCAGAATGCAATGCTCACACTGATCAAGGATCAGGTCAGTCAAAACTAATGGCAGATGATGATGTGGCGCACAAAATAAGTTGTCTAAAGATGACTGTTTATGTTTATATCTATGACACCTATTACCTTCAAATGGAAAATCCAATGAAATCACTGAACCGTGGCTCCCTGTTGGTCATGCATTAGACAGCAAAGCAAAACCTCCCATCTTGGGAACCAACTTCTCCGTCTCCCATCTATTTCTGGCTCTACTGATCTATTGATCTATTGATCTTGTCCAGGTGCATGTAATTTGTGTTTTGGGAAAGAGAAGCTTGACAGTAGTGTGTTGGGTCAAACCTAAAGCTACTGCAGAATACGAGGTAGCCTCAAGGTTTCGAACCCCCGAGCTGCCTGCGGGGAAATCTGCAGAGTGTTACCGGCTTCAATATCCTGTACGCTACCTACTGCCATTGCGCCCTTGAGAAAGGCACTTTACCCCTAAGCGCACCAGATGCGCTGCTCGGCAGCAGCTCCTTTGCTGCTCCCAGCCTGTGATGTGTGTGTTGTGTCTGGTTGGGTACTGTGACAGCGAAACATTCATATTGTATTGTATTTTATTACTTATCTCATCAATGCTGGCACACTTCAGATAACCTTGTCTTTAGATACTTCTACGTCCATATGACGTCCATATGTCCATATGGCAGAGATATGCTAGCTAGTTTATTTCAGAAAACGCTTCCATATTTGAATATAGCAATTAATGTATGTTAGAGCACATTCTGACAGTTGCAGCCAGCGATCAAACATTCCTTCACATTATTTACTAAGACTGAAGGTTTCAAGTGTAATGTCTTAATCATATCAAATTTAGCGATTGATATTCATTATATTAGAACTATACTGTGTGGGTATCGGAATCATAGGACGCACGCACACATGCACACGCGCACACACGCACACACCGTGTACTGTATGTGTGTGTTTAGAAGGGCTGTTGAGGAATCAATCCCCTTTGAGCAAATCCACACCAGGCTTTTTTGTATCCGGCTTTAGAGAACAAATGCACTCCTTTTAAATGGATATCTCTGGGTTTGAGAGGTAGAGGACTGACAGGACTGGGTCACACTGAGGGATAGAAATGTGGATCAGTGTTCAAGGAGTAATCCTTCTGATTTCCCCCCCACTGGCTGAGCAAAACTGAGTAACCGGAGTTAAATCTGTATGTGTTTGGCCTACATAATCAACTGTTTTCTTTCAAACAATCAACTTAAAAAACATTCCTCAATCATTCATAAACTAATGGCGGTGGAGCTTTATAATAAGACTTAACTGGATAAGAGCCTCTGCTAAATGACCAGAATGTAGAGTAAAATGTTGACCAGGAATAGGGGGTGCCATTTGATGCTTTCTAGCTCTGTCCAAGGAACCACACCTCAGAGACAGCCCATGGTTGCTGTCCCGAGTGCTGAAATTTTATACAGTCGATTTCCGCGGCCCCGCAGGGCTAAATGCAGTAAGGACAAATTACATTTTTCATCAAATGTTTTATTTTGGGGGGGGGATACTTCAACGGGTCTTAACATTTGACATCAAATAGCTAAATGATCCTTGTATTGACCTTCTTAAAACAATTCCATATAGCTTAGTAGAACCCCATCCCCCGGCTTAAACAGTGCTTAGACTGCAGAGGGTTAAATGGAACACAATTGACTTTTCCATTGTTCACATATTGATTGAGGAAAGCAGTGTGAATCAAGTTGTCACGCCCTGACTCTGGGGACTCTTGTTTGTTGAGTCAGGGTGTGTATTTTCTATGTGGTGATTGTCTATGTTGTATATTCTGATTGTCTCCGTGCTGCTGTGCTGTTTGTTGCTACTTGGCTACCTGCCAAACTATTCACGTTTTACTTTTAATAAACGTTTAATCAATCTCTGTGTTCAACAAATTTACCAACTTTTTAGTTTTGTCCTCACTCATCTTTTTTCGTTAAACTTTTTCAACCCCGGACGTTTTATCCCGAGACAGAAGAGTCATTTTCCTGTGCGTTTTAGCTGCCAATTTTACTTTATTTTCCTTTTTTCCATCGCAACTTTTTTCCCTTATTCAACTTTTTCACTCCGGACGCTTTATCTGGACATGGTTCGTCAACATCTTCAACAGCCGAAGCTAAGTAGTAACATTAACATGATGTCTTCTAATTGCAGTCGCTGTACTCATAATATACAGAGACAGTCGTGACACACCAAGACAGTCGTGAAGAGGGCACGACAAAGCCTATTCCCCCTCAGGAGACTAAAAAGATTTGGCATAGGTCCTCAGATCCTCAAAAAATTCTACAGCTGCACCATCGAGAGCATCCTGACTGGTTGCATCACCGCCTGGTATGGCAACTGCTTGGCCTCTGACCGCAAGGCACTACAGAGGGTAGTGCGTACGGCCCAGTACATCACTGGGGCAAAGCTCCCTGCCATCCAGGACCTCTATACCAGGCGGTGTCAGAGGAAGGCCCTCAAAATTGTCAAAGACTCCAGTCACCCTAGTCATAGACTGTTCTCTCTGCTACCGCACGGCAAGCGGTACCGGAGTGCCAAGTCTAGGTCCAAAAGACTTCTCAACAGCTTCTACCCCCCAAGCCATAAGACTCCTGAACAGCTAATCATGGCTACCCGGACTATTTGCACTGCCCCCCCCACCCCATCCTTTTTACGCTGCTGCTACTCTGTTAAGTATTTATGCATAGTCACTTTAACTCTACCCACATGTACATATTGCCTCAACTGCCTCAACTGGCCGGTGCCCCCGCACGTTTACTATGCAACGGTACCCCCCTGTATATATAGCCTCCCTACTGTCACTTTATTCTATTGTATATATAGCCTCCCTACTGTCACTTTATTTTTTACTTCTGCTCTTTTTTTTTCTCAACACTTTTTTGTTGTTGTTTTATTCTTACTTTTTTGTTTAAAATAAATGCACTGTTGGTTAAGGGCTGTAAGTAAGCATTTCACTGTAATGTCTGCACCTGTTGTATTCGGCGCATGTGACCAATAAAATTTGATTTGATTTGATTTGATACAGGAGAACGATCGCCTTACGGCGAGAATAGCTGTGCTACAAGCCCAGCTTCAGACGCAATCGTTAGGCAAGGGTAATTTCAGTGTAGGAAAGGAAGAAACAGCGTCTGTGCCACCAGTAAGTACAGAACAATAAACCGGAAATCCCCGCAAGCCGCAAACACTTTCCCCT